TCTTCTCGGATGTTTCGTAATGTATATCTGTATAGTATTATATTATTTATTTTCTTTAGCGTGAACGCCGAGTTGCTTCTAATCGCGAAATGGGACGTAACCGGTAATCCGGAGTCTTCGTCGTCTTTCACCGCGGATGGGATTATGCCGCGGCTTTATATCGCATTACTCGACTTAAACCGCGCCTGTATATAAGCGCACGTTCCACGCAAGTAAGTCCGATAAATTCCACGCGATGCACACACAACCGAGTAAATACACCGAATGAAAGGTCGTTGTTGCAGGTGCCTAATCAAATGACTGAGCGTATTCGACCGGGAATTTAATGTCTTTTTCTTCCCAAAAATAACGAGAAACAAGAGAATTTATGCCGTCATTTTAATGATTCGGAATATTCTGTCGATTTTTATTTTTTTACGGATTCTCGTAATGCTCGTGTTGAAAAAAATTTTTAATTCATAATGTAATGTTAAAATTAAAGAGGATTAAACATGTAACTCATGAGAGACAAAGCACACTATATTAGTTATTTTATTTTATTAATTTTTTTAATAATCTGGTAAATTTAAATTTTTTCGAAATTTTTGTTATATATTATTAAGAAGCATATATTATATATTTTACTGAGCAAGTAAATTCTACGTGATATATTATAGATATATTGATAGATTTGTGATACATATTATTATTTTCTATTTTGTTCTATATTATTTTTTATTTTATTTGCTCTTTGTCGGATTGTATTCATTCTTTTTACATTTCTCAAACGAGATACGCACTTTCTCAATGGTACGACATTGCGTGGGCAATGCCCATGGCCGGAATCCATATTAAAGAGCTTTTAGCGTATCACGGAATTTTTTATTATATTTCTCTGGCATTAATGTAAGCAGCGGATTTACCGAATCTGATAAAGTATTTGTGCTCGTGCATACGCTGCATACAATTTAATTTATTCTCAATGTTCCAGATTGGCTACTTTTTTTTATATTTCAAAGATTTTATAATTATTAGTTTTGTTTATTTTCAAAGATTTTATAATTATATGATTGAATAAAATAATGATATAAATGGAAATTACATATCAATTATATAATTATTATTTATATAATTCTAATAATTATATTATATGTTAATGTATTATATAATCATATATGATTTCTGGATTGAAATCAATGCCTGGAAATGAGAAAAAATATATCATATTTCATGATATGAAACAGGAAGCAATATTGTTATATAATATTTGTTAGATTGTTGATAAAACATTAACATAATATTTGTATAAACTGTACAATAGAAATAATTCTTTCTATGCAAAACATATATGGGTAGTCTATAAATAATATATCAATATTTAATTTGCGTGCCAACACGCTCTGGCAATTAATTCTAAAAAGGAATAGCGGTGAAATGATTTAAGAGCCATCCGAGTCGTTAACGAGGGGATACATATGACTGAAATACTTAGCCAACAAAGCTTAAACTTCCTGCGGCCTGATTATTGGACTGTAGATTACCTCTGTAATACGACGATTATTATCTTCTTGATCGACGTTATCGCGCGCATCTCTATATTTTTCACACAATTCTTGTTCGTTTTTCGAAAATGGAGTTCTCTGCTCTGCATGTTTTATTTATATCTTTCATCTCATTTTATGACGTATGTTATTTTAAACTTTGATATGCAAAGCATTATATTCTGACTAAATAATTACTATTAATATAGAACTTTATTTAGGAATAAAATCCCGCGAGAAATAATAACTTTTGTTTTTGCTGAAATACTGGACCGCACAATAGATTGTATAATGAAAACTTAACACTGTAATCCAAACTTGACATAGCAAGTAATACTTTTCAACATCAGAGATTTACATTAATTAGCTTCAAATGTCACAGGAAGCTGTGCAACATATTATCTCGGATACGTACGTTTGCATAAATGAAAGCTGGAATGTTTCTCCAAAATTATATTACACTTTTGCATTTTCATCGCGGGTCACACAGACAGAATCTGAATCATAATAGCTGTCGACAAGGGATCTCGAGCTAATAAAGCTCGATGACGCGACTGACGGTCGTGGATCATCGAGCTGAAACCGTCCTCTCGCGATAAAATCGAATTTAAATTGCTCTGTCTGTATATCGCAGCATTTCTTGTCGTGTATCATCGCAGCCAGTTGTTAACGATGACACGACTTCTTTTTATAGACTAACGTAAACGTTATGTATACGTATATGCGTTCCTTTGGTGTGACTCGATTCTTGCTAGATATATACAGTTTATGCGAAGCATACAAGGTAGCCCGAGGTGGCAGTACTTTAGCTATGGAATGTTTCGACCAATCTAAAGTAATCTAAACTCGATTTTTTTATCAATTTTTTTGCAAATTAATTCTCGAACATTTAATTACGTAGATAAGACAATTTCCTTGGAATTTTGTTGGACAAAAATTAACGCAAGAAAAATATGGCATGTATAAAAATTGTTTTCAAATTGAAAAATGTATAATAGAAACATCGGTAGCTTTTGGGTATCCTGTAAATTTGCATTGCAATTTTACAATCAGTCAGATATTGCACACAGATGTCATTGTTATTGAAAAACCAATCTAAAGTTAATTTTTTATGAATTTCATCCGAGATATCAATAGTTCTCTAGTTTTACGAGGAATTTGTATTAAATAACTTTTTTTTCACAAATTAATTCTCGAAAATGTAAATACAGATAGATGAAAAAATTTTTACCTTTGCTTAAAATAAAATTTCAAGTTTTGAACAGAATTTTAATTCAGAGAATTATAACGCAGGAAAAATATAGCATGTATCGAAATTCTTTTAAATAAATTGAAGAATTCATAACTAAAAGAGAAGCAACGGTAGCTTTCAGGCATTCTGTTTATTTGCATTGCAATTTTACATTCAACTAAATTGCACACATGTATCATTGAAAAAAAAAAATACAAATAGACGTAACAGAAATGTCAGAGTGCAATGAGTTTTGCCGGATCAGAAATTACCATTCCGAACCGATTTCTTTGATTCTTCGCAATTTTTGCTAATGATGTTATGAAAAGCGGAGGCATCTGTTAATAGCACGTAATTATGATTCGTGTTTTGATTGATGAATGATCGTAGACAGAGAACGAAACAATCTATTCGCGGCGTTGTTTTACAAGGAATAATTATGTGAATCATTCCAATCGATCCAAGTTTTTGATAAAATTACGTAATAAATATTGCAAATGCCATATTAAGTAATACTTTACACTACTATTGTTCGTAAAATTAAATAATGACAGGAAATTTTAATTTTAAAAGTTTATATTGTGTGTGCATTTTTTATTTATAGTAAGAAAAACAAAGTTTATTTTTTTCGCGTTTATTTTTTTATTCTGTTATTTTCAATTTATTACGAATATAAAAATTTTTTTTATTTTTTATATTTTTATGTATTTTTTATATTTATTTAGTTTTTAAATTGACATCTTATACGAATATAGAAAGTAAGAATATAGAAATGTCAAAAATACGAAATCATATCCCTTTTAACGTGTGCTGGGTTAAACAAATTGAAAAAGAATAAGAATTTTAAACAATATTTTATTTTATCTTTCATATATGTATAAATATTTTTAGTATCATTTATTTTCCAAATAACTTTTGTTACATTTTTATTTGTATATGCAAACATGCATAACCATCTATTTAAAATTTAAATACATTTCGCGAAAAGTACATTTTTGACCTCAATTTTCAATTCATGCAGATTTAAATTGCATTCATATAATAATTACAAGAGAGAGAGAGATATATAAATAATATTAATTATATTAATAATATATACTTTCTTTGCTATAAAGCGACATTCCAGAATTTTTTTTATTTGTACTACACTTTATTAAGCGCTAAAATTAATTGGAACACGTTTACGTTTTCTTTTCAATATGAAAAAATTACACTATCACCTATAAGTTAATTGAAAGGTGTACAGACTGTTAAAAAAAAAAAAAAAGAAAAAAGTTTTATACGGCGATAAAACTCAAATAATCCTCGTCGTCGGTGTTATCGATCTGGTGAATCATTTAATCGCACCCAAAGCGGTTTTTACACAGGAGTCAGTCGGAAACTTCGTCGTGCCACTTTAATCTTCATACACCAACACCGCAGAACGTGATCTCATATGACGGGCCACTCCCATCCTCCCTCTGGGTCTCTCTATTCCTTCCTCCTCTTCGTTCAGAACCGCTCGACAAATTGATTAGACGTGCAATTTTTCGTGCACCTTCTCGGAAGATTTTCGGCAACTTAGGAACTCGTGCGGAACGAAGGTTACGACCCGTAACATGAGCGTGACGACTCTGCTCCATATTTGCAATCTCTCGGATTTACGTAGAATATGTATCTCTTTTTATCGACAATTACACAACGAGATAGAAATCGTTGATTTCATTAGATAATATGTGACAGGGAATTTAAAAAAAAAAAAAAACATTTTTTGTATATGCACTTTCAATTTAATACTTTAATAAATTATGATTGGAAACATGTGTGGAATGAAAATTGTGTGGGGAATAAATGTATAGGTATACTCTTCAATATGCTTTAATAAATGATATGGATTATATGCAGTATATATATAGGAGAAGTAAAATATAATTTCCGCGATGATTAAAAACTAATTTCAATAATAATATAATATAAGACTAATTTTATAATCTTCACTTAAGTCTAATTATCGCTAAAATATTTGATGAGAAATATTAATAGATTAGATAATTATTTTTTAATTGAGTTTTGCAATTAATCTTGTATTTTTTATATTTCAATTTATGAATTAATATTTTTGATGTTTAGATTCCGAGAAATATAAATTAAAGGAAAATTAATTGAGAAATTAATAATTTAAGCTTCGTAGGACAAAATTGATATTTTAATAATTTTTTCTAAATATTATTGAATGTTTTAATAATATTTTCTCTCCTTTTGTGTTTCAGGCCAAACAACGTGCCTCCGTAAAATGGCTCCTATCGAAGGCATACAACAATCGAGTACCAGAAAAGCTCCGCGAGCCGTATTATCGTGATCATGAGGTAAACTATTAAAGTTGATTCTTTGTTAACAATTTTTAGTTTCTCGTTTAAAACTTCCAAAAATTTTATAAAGAAATATCCTGTTCCAAATGACAAAATTTCGCATTCTACTACCATCGTCAACTTTTGAATTAATAAACTCGCGCAAACTAATAAAAAAATATAATATTACAATATAAAAATATATATTATATATTATATAAAAATTTTATAATTTTGTGCATTCATGTACAGCCTTTTTCAGAAATTTTTTATTCTATAATATTGTCTATGTGAAAATGATGGATCTTTTTTCCAAGGGTATTTATTATAATCTTTTTATGTTCACTGACTTTCTTGACATTATCGATTATATGACGACTCTTTTATGCTGATGAATTTTTTTCGCGAAATATCGTTGATTCCTCGAGAGCACGTAAGTGTCTTGAAAAAAATATCTTTTGTGGCACACGTTATTATTCCGAAGGAAATGGGTCTGTCGTAAAAGACGGCGCGCTCTGCAAAGTCACCGAAATATCTATGCAACCAGAGATGCCAATAATTCTTTGCGAGAACAATGCGTTGAGTCGAACTCAGATGAAAAGGAATGAACGCGTTACAAATCATGTTATTTATAGACTTTACGAGACTTCGAGAGCCGACGAGGAAATGATGAGACTTTGACGAAGTACGAGAAGAAACTTTACGGGAACTGGAACTTGTACTTTTTCCTTGTGAGAGGAAAATGTCTGTTAACAAAGTCTTTCTTTTTGTAAGAAGCATGTTGGAAGTTTATTCAAATGGTTTCATTCATAACAAAATGTGTAAATTTTCTTTATTTTAATTTAATATTTATTATAATTTAATATATGTATATGTCTATTAATCATTTATTATAAGCTTATTCTTTCTTAAATCATGTTGCTTACAAAAGATGATATATATTTATCACTATATGCATTTAGATAGCTTATGTAAATATTTGATGTAAACAATTTTATTTCTTTATTACATTTCGTCATCGTCATCGATTCACTTAAAATAATTATATTTGTTTTCTGATATGATTTTCTCATCAGTGCGAAATTTGTGAAATTCATTTATTTTGTCTTCTCTTTAAATCGAGATTCTGAATCTGTTCTTTGAAAATATAGATCGACGTGAAGTGAAAGAGCTCGAATCTTAAATTAAGTATCGAGATGACTAATGAAAAATACTTTCCTTTTCCGCAAAACACATATATAAGAATTGCATCAGAATACTTTCTATAGATAATATATTCTTTTGATAGATACGAAAGTTTGGATTATGCTCCGGAAATTCTATGTTTTTTTCATTAGTTTGCGCTATTATTATATAAGAGCTATATTTTTATTAGAGCTATATTTCATACTTTCTTTTTTCTCTCTGTATTCTGACAAAAGAGAAGAAGGATGCACTTTCGCCACGTGAGAAAACTTAAAAGATATTCTTATAACACGACAATTTAATGCCTGTAAAGGAAGAGTTTCCTTTGTTTCTTGTATGAGAAACAAAAGCTACGAAAATATTTTCACTTTGAATAATACGAAATCTGTCTCACGGCTATTATAAACTAATTTTCTTCATAACCGAAAATACACTTCTTTTTGCGAAAATATAAACGTTCTTAAAATCACAAAGCTTTTAAATTATCTCGTGAGAGAAAAGTAAAGATACTCTACAATATGTAAATTATTATTTATGTGATTATATATTTATTAGATTATTATTCTATATCATGTTTGTTATTTTTCAATTATCTCTACTTCTCTATCGTTTGTTCAGGGGAACTTAAAAACTTTTAAAGATCCTATTTGCGATGTTATTTCGCCCACGTTGCAGTGCAAAACTGAGAAGAGAATGTTTCTTCTGTTTTAGTAGAGTTACTGCATAGTTCATCTATTATGCCGGATGCTGCATGCAAACAGTAGAATCACTGCTAAAATAGCAGTTTACATAATTGTATACATATAAACTTATATGGAGATCTCGAACTTTGGTGTGTTGTTGGATTAAAAAAAATCATTTTTGTTTAATTAAATAATTTTTGGGAGGGAAAATAAATAGTAGAATCTTTTGAATTATTTTTCTTTTTTCTTCGAGATTTGGAAAATAGAAAATAAATTTATGTATGAATATGTAACATTATTTTTTACGAAAAATATGTTAAATATCGACTTATTTCCTTAGTTGCGGATATAGAAGCTTTACAAGAAGTGTTACACAACAGATATTATATTGAGATGAAACTCTCTCGTCTGCTTCCACGCGATTAATCGTAAAATTGTCGTGAAAAAAGCGAACAAAATGTCATCGTGAAGGCAATTCCTTCATTCCTTCGAACTCGATCATCTGTGGTACTTTCGCTGCTCGGTGTTTTTCTTTAGAGACCAACATTTTTGTCTTTCATAATTAATCGTTCGAAGCGTTGAGTACTAAAAGAAAGAAAAGTTATCAGAGCGCAAAAATGAGAAAAACTGGTGCAATAAACATTCCTTTGCATATTATGCAAATACGCCTAAAAATTCCAAAATGTTTTGCATAAAAAAAAATACAAAGTAAATATTGTAATATTCAAAAATAGAGAAAGAAATGTTTCTTTCTAGAACAATGTATCCTAATTAATTTGTATAATTGTTCAGGTATGAAAATATAACGAATATAATGATTCGAATCGTAATGAAGGCTTTTTAGAGATGATAAAATTTTTTCTTTACAGGATCAGGAACATCTGAAACCGCAGATCGTTCACGCCCTTTCCAATGCGGAGCTCTACTGTCTCGCCCTGGCCAACATATACTCGGATCCCAACTATCACAATCAGAATCACTACGGGATCCTGCAGGCCCTGGCCAGGAAAGGCGTCTACGTCGCGGAACAGAACAATACTCAACTCACCGAAACGATTCTCATTCAAAATTCACCACTCAAGATGGTAAGCTCTCGATTCCCAGACAATGCAACATGTAACACCCATGTTTTCTCCAATATCGAGAACTGACAACATAACATTTATTGCCAATACAACGATTACATTATAAGATATCTTTGGAAGCTCTCTAAAAGTTTCATTATAACACAACTCTGTTCAAGCTTCAAATTAATTAAAATAAAATAAATATAAAAATAAATTGAAATAAAAAATAAATAAAAATGAGATAAAAAATAAAAGAAATGCTTTCGTTTCATTGCAGTCTGCGCATATGGCTGTGATAGAAGGCCTGATGGTCTTGTACGCGAAGGAGGTGGTAACAGGGGACCGGGTCGTCTCAGCGATACGACGATTCGACCCCCAGGCCGCGGTGGACGTGCCGTCAGATCACGAGAAGGGTCTCCTGCTCTGGATCAACCACGCATCGCACGCGTTAATCGCCAAGATCCAGAGCGAGGAGGGCGCCGGCGACAAGACGCGGCTGCCCGAGCTACCCGCCGCCAAGGACTTTCAGTCTCTGTGCGACGGCGTCGGCCTGGCAGCCGTCGTCGCCTTCTATTGTCCCGGCGAACTCAACTGGATGGAGATCAGGGTGTCGAAGAGACCCTCGGTCGCGGACGCGTTGCACAATCTTTCCCTGGTGCACGCGTTCTGCCTCAAATGCCTGCCCTATTCGATTTTCCACATGCAACCTGAGGACGTTACGTACATGAGAGGGTGAGTTGATTTTAATCAAAATCGAAAGTTGAGTGTCTTGATTTTTTTTTATTATCTTAACATTTATTATTATCTTAACATTTTTCACAGGTCAATGAAGCAGAACCTGGTGGTTTTTCTGGCGGACATGTACAACGTTCTGGAAATTCATCCGGCGAAATGCGTTCGTTATCCCGGAGAGGAGCGTGCGATGCAATACTTAGATGGTACGTAGACGTTTTTTAAGATGAGGTTTGAGATTATCGATTAAAAGCAGATCTATATATGACGAGACGTCGGCTCGGGGTTATATCGCGAAAAGAAGGAAGAGAAAGAAAGAGGATTCGTGAAAATTGGTGGTGGATAAATGTGTGATTGGTGGAGGCTGCCGTATTACACTGTATTTGACTTACATATTTATATATATATTATATATATAACCGTTCTATTATTTATTTTATTATATTCCATGAAAAATTCCATTATTATTGCAGGCAATGAGAAGGCATTGGGCTATCCTTATCTTGCTAATTACGTCAGTTAAATTAATTATAAGTACATAGTAACATAATATGACTGAATTAATAACAGTTGCCTGCAATTGTAATGGTATCACGCTTTTTATCAGTGTCAATACACATATATTCTCGAGATGTCCCAGTCTCTCGATCCGGATCCAGTCCTCTTTTCCTGCGAGAGAAAGAGCAGCGATTAATAACATTGTTTCCATTTGATACGAATTGGCCTTTCGGCGAAACGAAACGAAAAACGCTGCTGCTAAGAGATACGATGTACTACCAGCCAAACTACGAACACTACCTCCAACACACGCAGCACTTAATCTATTACAACTGTAATATTTCCATATATTTCTATGGCGTAACCTCTTCTTGATGCTTGATACGACAACGCTATCCTCCGCCTTCTTCTTTCGCCAACTTGCGAACGGTGTCGAACCACATGATACGGCGACGGGGCGGGTGCAGCCTGCCCGCGCAATAGTCATGGCGTAGCTCATAAGAGATGCCTGCCACAGTCTATAGCTCCGATACCCGATCTGAGAAGCAACCTCTCCATATCCGCGCCAGGCTTCACAGGTATCCATACGTTACCACACAAAGAAAAAAAATCAAGTCTCATGAACTCTCTACTAGATGGTCGTCTGCCCTCCCTTGCGAGTCGCGCGTTTTTTTCGCAGACTGACGTTTTTGATGAAAGAGATCAGGGAGTCCCCGGTCGTCTTGTCGCGTTTATCCTCTTGCTCTTGTCTGTAGATACGCTAGGTCACCCACATTTCTAATTCGACGCATACTCGCAATTATTGTCGATGTAATCGAATAAAATGCAATGTCGCAGCTTTTTCACCGTAGCTTATCATAGAGCTTAATTAAATTCTGAGTTTTTTAGCATAAGCATATTAATGCATAGTAATTAATCATCCGGTGTTCTAAACTGATCAATATCATTTCATCATGAAGAGAAATATATTTGTCTTATTGTTTTGTAAAACAACAAATTATCTTTGAAATTCAAATATCAAATTGATATATGTTCTAATGTTATAACATATTTTCTGGAACAAGAAAATTGATAATTTATCGGTTTGGATCATGAACAAAAATGTTTATCCGATTGGACTCTCTTAGTAAAGTTCGTGAATCGTGTGAGGAGAGCACTGTTTGTTACTAATCACATAATTGTTTTTGCATTTCATTCGATTATTATTGTGGGAGCACAGAATCACATCCGAGAACTAGAGATGCCTGCATGCGAATGTCGCGTATATCTGCGACGCTGATCATTGGCTGCCTGAAACGCTTGCATATATAATATATATTGGACATTGGCTTTCATCGCATCACGTTTCTTTCTTTTTTTTCTTTTCTTTTTGCATGAGACAATTTTAGTCATGCGCTGCTACCAGTCACGAAGAGAAAGAGATGAGAATTTCGTCGTCGTTCATTAAGGTTTCCACTCCACGTTTAGTTGGTACGATTACGTTGCGACGTGTATTCATTCTCATCGTTTATGGTGTGATTGTTTTTTTTTTTTCGTTTATGATTTTATCGTTACATCTCGAGCTTTTTTCGTTTTCATGTTACGTTTCATTTTACAAAATTCTAGTCCCAAAACGAGAATTAGAGATAGATGCTAGAAACATTTTTTATAATGTGACTCTTGATGTGTATCTTTTTTTATACGATATTTTCTTCGAAAATATATTATCACATTAGGCTTTTGATATTTCGATACTTGAAATGTGCGTGAGTTGAAATTCTTGTGGTATTTTACCGGTTTTTATTATTGAATATTATGTCATTAACTTTGTTTTACTATATGAAGTAATCTGAGAATTTCATATCGCCTTCAAGTGATCTGTTGTAAGCTTTATTTGATGTAAACGTGAGGTATAAATTTATTATTTGTTAAATATTTTACAGTTTCTTCTTGAATATAGTTTGAGTGACAAATGAACTTTCCCATCTAATTAGATATAAATATACATATGTTTATAATGTGATCGATTCATTGTTAAATGATTTTTCCAGTTGCAAAATCAACTTCAAATACTGTGAAAAAGTCACAATCTTTGCAACAAACTACCGACAGTCATCCATACGACGACAGGTATGTTCATCATGTTTAAAAGTTTTATCACGCATTAGTAGAAATTAATTTAATTCGAATATGTAATTTAACCCTTCTGTCTTCTGTAATTTATTTATAGTAGATATATTTTTTCTCGTCACATTTTAAAAGATTTCCGAATAAAAAGACTCTTTGTAATTTGTTTCAGAATTTTTTTTGGCTGCACTAGTTCAGAATTTATTTTTTTAGTCAGCATTGAAAGGAAAAAGATAAATTCTGAACTAGTGCAGTTAAAAGGAACATCTATTTATTTTTCAGAATTTTTAAAATTTGAAGTTGCTCTGATTACCCAGGTGCTCGTTCATTGACAGAAGGAATATTTAATAAGATCTTCCCTTTCTTACCTGAAATACCATTGCACATCTCGACTTATCAGTCTTCTTATCTCGATAGGCGCATAGGTAGCGAGGAGAGCTTCGTGGTGCATCGTGGCAAGGGCATTCCCACCTTGAGCTCCGTGTCGGATGACAAGTCCAGAACTGAAGCTGCGGGACGGCCGAGCAACTGGGAGGAGCAACGACGGAGCTCATACGCTGGACGTCGGTCCAGACGGAACAGCATCACGGACGATTCTCAGTTGACAATCGAGAACTTTGGCGGATCTCAGGTACGTAGGTACGAGGAGGAGCCAGCGTCTTCTCGTCGTCTTATCTCGTCGCGGCAAAAAGGAGTGTAGATCGTCTCAGGGTTGTGACAAGTGGTATGAACACTGTGATTTCTTTTATCCAGGATAATTTACACAATTTTGGTAGAAATCCGGATAAAGAGGTAGGCGCGCACGTGAACAAGCGCAACACGACGGAGCCGACGTTGCCCGCGAGATCTAGCGTCCAGGATGTTTACGGCAGCGGCGTGCAGCACATAATTGCGGACAACGGCTACAACGGCAGCAATGGTAGCGAGGAGCTGCCGCGGCTGCGACGACAGGCATCCAACAGCAGTCTGGATAACGTCGCTCTCCGGCAGATCTTACATTCCGGCGTAGAGAACGATGGTGGCGGTGGCGGAGATAACAACGATGCTATCGGGGACGCCGTCACGAAGTTCGCCAGTTTCGCGAACCTGAACAGGCAGAGCTCGGAAAAGGGGATCAATTTCACGTATATGGAACAAGAGCGGCAGGACGACGTCAAACAGCCAAGTAAGAGGCACGGTCAAAGTAACGGAAACGGCGAGAAGAAAACGACCTTCGCCACTTTGCCGAATACGACCACGTGGCAGCAACAGAGCAGCCAGCAGTCGCAACAGTTGGAGCAACATTCTATCGGTAATCCTCAAACACGGATAAAGTGGAAAAGACACTTTCTTAAAAATTCAATACAGATATATTAAATTTTTTAATTGATTTAGAATTAAAAATGTTATTATAGTTGTGTTCATGTTACACACATTTGTCATCTCTTCGAAATGATTGAAAATATTTCGTGATGCTAGATGAGAACGGCGGTAATACCATAATGGCCTCGCAGTTGAATAACATACGACTGAAGCTCGAAGAGAAGCGACGACACATAGAGAACGAGAAGCGAAGGATGGAGGTTGTTATGTCGAAGCAACGGCAGAAAGTAGGAAAGGCAGCGTTCTTGCAGGCGGTCACTAAGGTAAAACACACGATTATCTCTTGAAATGTTATTTAGGAAGACTTTTGCAATACACATTGATCTATTACAACATCATTCAACGTCGCCATCAATTCTGTCGTATCAGTTCTACATACATCACTGTATTATATATAGAATTAGGGGTTCGATATTTCTTTCCTTTCTTTTTATTTTCTTGAAAGGAAAGAAGGGTGCAGATTGATAATGAATGAAATTAAAATTGAATCGAGGTACACACAAATCACAGAATGCTCTGAGTGTTTCATCAAAACATCAGATCTGCGGGACAACTACTTTTCGAATCTAGGCACGGGTGTTTAGTATAGAGCAATGTGAACTCAGAAAGTAAGATTTTTTTCGCTGTTTGTTTTATGTCATACAATACTGTACAAAATCGTAAGCCCGATTGTTCTGTATTGCTTGTACAAATGTATAAAATGTTATCAGTTGAAATTGTAATGTAATTCGTAAAGTAGTAGATGTAAGATCTATTGCTCAATCTCAGATAATGATCGAATTTTATTCGTAATTTATCTGTTTATCTGAGTTTATCTGGGTAGAGATTCCACGTAGATTTTGGTTTATCTTCGTATAATCGCTTTTGTTGTACATAGTAGGACATATCTCTTCTTTGTTTGCGCCATAAAATAATCTCGGTTGCCAGCCACGTTGTCCTAACACAATTCTCTTTCTGACATTTCAGCTGTACTTGATGGTAAGCGCATGCTAATGCACTGAAACACTGTATTATAACAAGATCGAACATTTCTATTTATATCACACTTCTGTTTAGGCAGAAATTGTGTGTGCCAGTTTATCGAATTCAATGTTTTTCTAGCACTTGACAAATTCTTTCTTTGTAAATATAGCAATCAATATCTTGAAACTAGAGAGTGATCAGTGTCGTTTAATTTTAGTTGCAAAAAAAGAGATACATATATACATTTTATATATTTTTTTCCTCTTTTCTTTAATCTTGCAATAAGTGGATTGTATGCAATTTTATTTTTCATTTTTTGCCTCGATGTTTGTTTTAGTTCCAAAGTGTTGATAGAGTCGTGAATGCATTGAATGTTGAACAATATTAAAGAAAAGTAGATGGGTTCATCTTGTTCAAAGCACTGCATGCTGTTGTATAAAGAGAGACAATTTATATATATGTATAGCTAATATCTTGCGAAAAATTTACTCATATGAAAGATGAAATAAGATTTCAAGTTGACAGATTCTGAATATAATATAATATAATTATATTACTGAATATAATATAATATATTAATTAATCAAAGTACTGTAATGTATTATAACGTTTCATAGTCTGTTTATAGTATTAGTTGGAAACGCGCAACAGATATTTAATTTTAATTTTGTATTTATGAGAAATTTCTTTACATTTATAATTAAGAGATAGGATAGCGCAAATATATATTGCGTGCTATTGTAGTCCTTAAGTCAATCGTTGTTCAATTAAGCGATATGTTTTGCGTGCCATTTTCTGGATGGGCTTTCTGGCACACCTGATGATGCGCTTGAGCGTTAATGAATCTGAACTTTGAGGCCATGGGTGGACCATTTTTTGGTGGCGGTGATTTGGTGGTGGCGGACTCTGAGTACTCTTAACAAGGCACGCTGGTTGGGCTGGTTGCAGGGTAAGGTTAAATCTCCCTCTTCGTCAACGTCCGGGGGGGACAGTCCGGCCGAGACAGTCGGTCCCCCCACTCCTGTAACCTCCGGGTCTTCCGGGGCAACCCCGACGAGCATTTCCGAGGCGTCCTCTGTACCCCAACAACCCTCTCAAGAAAAACCACAGAGACCTTTCTCGCTCAAGGTACGATATTATCGGCAAGTGCAAGTAGAGTTTTAGAAGGAAAAGTTAATTACCTTTGATATTTCCTAATAGACGATTATTATACGCGCTTATGCGAATGGCTTTCAGACGTCGATACAATTTTTTTTTTTATTTTTGATGCGCAGATAGAGATGTAAAAAATTCTTTTTCCAAGTTTGTTTTTTTCTAGATATTTAATATTTTTATATTTTGATTACTACAAATTGATTTTTCATTAGTTTGAATTTTTCGATGATATATTTGAATAAAAGATGATAATTTGAATCATTTTTAATTAAATGCGTCTAATAAAAAATTTTGAAAATTATCTGAATCATGTTGAGTTTTATGTAATTTCCACAAAGGTCTCATTAATCAATTAAAATTATTTTCGAAAAAATAAAAGTATAAGAACTTTAGTTTTTATTATGTTAACAAAAAAATATTATAAAGAAAAATAAAATTGTTTTAAAAGATAATTAAAAAAAATATTTTAATGAAAAGAAGCACGATTTTTTTTCAACTATTTTTCTATTATAAAAAATAAACAGTTTTTTTACATCTCTATGTGTAGATGTAGCGAAAAAACCTAGAGTATAAAATTGTTTGTTGAACCGATCATTTTTCCCCTCTTGATGTTTTAGATTATTCAAAACGAAGCAAATAATGTTACAAAGTGTACTTTGTCGCTTTGTATATTTATCCTTTTAGCAGACATGATTGTAAAATATTTTAAAATGGACGATTATTATTAGGCTTCTCGACGCTTTCTTTATTTTATATACATATATTGTACAGAAGAGAACGAAACCTCACCGAGATGACTCGCTGATTTTTCTAATTTGCTAATTATAATGTTTATGCATGATAAAATACTAAACACTCCCTGGAAAAAGAGTAGATGTACTTGTTTGCATTTACATCTGTGTCGGGTGATGGTTATTCAGATGACATAATATTATATACAGGATGTCGGAAATTGTGACATCAGCGAGAAATGGAGGTGATTCATCATGAAAATAAAAACTGAAAATGTAGAATAAAATTGCAACAATTTGCAATGTCATAAATTTAATGCATAGTGTTATTTTTTATTCATATCGAATTGTTAAAAACTTTATTCTACATTTTTGATTTGTATTTATACGAGAAATTGCCTTCATTTTTTTGTTTGTAGCATGATTTCCAATATCATGTATGCTAATTTCTCTTTTCTATCAATAGAATTGTTTTACTAATCAAAATTTTACATTCTAATATGTATATATTATAATGCATTTCTCTAATTAGCTTTATTCTCTTCGAACACACAAGTTTTCGCTTCTAATTACATTGTTATTTACGATTTCGGCGGCAAGTTATTTAAATTCAACAGGAGTAATTAATGCGCACCCCTTGAAAGTTAAATTTACATCGAAAGCATAGAGAAATTTGAGAAACAAGCCTTGACATTATTCCAAGTTACATAAGATATTGATCAAACAAACGGATAAATGTCGCGTTCATAGATCGTGTCACCAAGTTTCCGGACTAGACCGTAACTAGATCAATTTTCATTGTGTTATCTGTGGATTGTCAATTATTTTGAACGTGCGAGGAATTAAGTCGAACCTCAATCATGTTTTACTCGTGCTTACTTCGGGTAAATATTCGCGTAGCTTCAGGATTAACGAGATGTCACGTAAAAAGGACACACAAGTGCAGACCAGACTAGATGATAAATGATTTATACATATACACATATATACATATGTATAGACTTTTATCAATTACATTATAATTATTTTTAATTCGTGCAAGACATACCATGAATCAACAAGTGTTTTGTATGTTTATTTTACAAACATGAAATTATACGAATTCCAAACTTTTGATTATTTTATTTGTTACGTGAAAATTTCCCTAGGTTCTCTCTAAGACAAAACAACAAAAAACAAATCGAGCATTCTTATATCAGCAGTATTTTATGTATGTACATTTGTAACATTGTGTAATCCACATCTGAAACATGTTGTTTCTCTGACGACGAATGTAGGAAATTAGTGAGGATGTGCGAGACGTCGAGCACAAGTGGTTGGAACACGACGGGAACGCGCCATTCATCGAAACCAGACGCACTCCGGATATCGAGAACATGGATCCCGAACAATATCGTCAATCTATAACACAGTTAGTATCAACTCCTTCTAGAACTAAGACTCACGAATAAAAATAAAGAAGGCATACGATGAGTGTAATTGTTTCTACATTTCAAGATGCATCGGCGTCTTCTAAATTACAGTAGACATGTAAAACAATGTTTTTCGTAGAATGAACTCCAGCCTGAGCGAGATTCAAGCGGACATACAGCGTTTAGCGAGCCAGCAGAATCAGATTCAGCAACAACACCTGATGACGCAGCATCAGAAACAGATGCAGCAACAACTCCAGCAACTGCAGAGTCTCAGTCAGCAGCATATGCAGCAGTCTCTCTCACAGACTTACGGAATGCCGCCGATGAATCCGTTAACGCCCAGACTGCAGGATACGCAGCAATCACAGTTCTACTTGCACGATCAACCGCAAGTGCAGAGGAGAATGTGGGGCCAACCGGCGCCTGCCCAAAGTCTAGCCAACGAGATGGCCGCGGTGGGCTATCAGCAGTCTATGGACTCTCGATTTAGCCCCCAACCTGCCGGTATATCATCTTTATTTTAGTACAGAGCCAAGAAACTCTCGGCTAAACTCGTTAATTGATAAAATAGCTTAGAAAGGATACCGCACCAAATACATAGGATTTTGACTTTTGCTGACGTTATCTATTTTCTTCATATGTTGTAGCTTATGTTTTGTTGAACAAAAGATGTAATAGTCTCAAAGCTAAATATTAGATTTTTGTATAAAGTTTGTCCTATTTGTATAAAGTTTTTTGTATTTGACTGGCTGTAAATTAGTAACCGTCTATTATTTAGCTTTGAGCCTATTACATTTTTTATTCAGCAGATCATAAGCTACAACATATGAGAAAATCAGCGGATCTTATCAAGATTTAATTTTATATGATTAGTATGGAATTTTGAATTTATAAAATTCTAGATAAAATTGCAGGATGCGGAGTTCTTTAATTAATATATAATTATGATATATTATTGAGATGACATTTCTCGGATATATATTAATTTTCTTGTCATCTATCCAGAGTTTGCTCCCAAAAATTATTTCTATAATAGATGTTGAATTGTAATGGTTGTATTTATTTTTGTAGTGTGTATATGTTCTAATAAATAATTTTTTCTTCAGCTTATCAGCAAGATATGCGCATGTACGCGGATCCCACGAGGACCTGGGCCGCGCCGCATCAGACGCAAAAGGGATTCGTTCTGCACGATAATCAGGAAGCGAGGTATCTTAATGGCGGGGATCATAGTCTGTGTAATAATCAAATGAGCCATCCCGGCCCGACATATCCGGGGTCCTCGTCGCTTTTCAATCAAACACAAGCCACAACTGCTAGTCCGCAACATCGTAACGCTGTGAGTATCCCTATAATTCTCGCAATCATCTTCTCTTTGTGTTCCTTTTGCGCGCTTAGACATAAGAATTCTATTATATCTTTGAAGCTATCATACTCTTTCATACACATATGTATATATACACACATATACTTCTATTTATATTTGTACCAATAGCCTCTCTGCATACAATGCACGCATCATTTTATTGCAAAAGATAGAAAGACGGGGCGAGCAGAGGCTCTGAACGCTGCACCCAGCAGCGATTACGCAGCGTGAGTGAAAAGTTATTGTATATGCTGATCATCAACTCGATTTGGTCACCTCAATACGTAGGCTCGGCCCGAGTCTCGTGTGCGTACTACACGCATGCGAACCAGTCGGTGATGTAATGCACGTTTATAGACACTTGTTCTTGACACCCAACATGCAGACACTACCCACACCGGCAGGCATATGTGGTCGCGCTGCGGCAAGGATTTTACAACCTTCTCTCTCTGTCTCCGAGTGATTTGTAAATTTAAATAACATGTATTTCTTTTGCTCGTCGTCGACCGTTGCAACTTCACGCGAATGCTTCCGCGAGGTTTGTCTCGACTCCTTTACGTCTCTATCTTGATAGACACTTGTCAACAAAAGAAAAGCGATTGTTGAGTTTATATATACAAGAAAATTGTGTTGTGATAGTGTGGTTTCAGTGTTTCGTCTCAATATCATTTTATTACACTCTTGTGTGTTAAATACAAAATTATATGTCTTGTATATTTTAATGAAAAATCTAATAGTGTAACACATCAATATATAGTGTTTCAAAATCATTGGATATACTCTTTTAACATTTTTTATTGTTATTTTATAGATGACTTTTTCTTAATGAAAATATCGAAGAAGAATAACATTTTTTAAAGTTTCAATTTTTAATCATTTTTATTTAATCATTCTTGCTAACTAATTGTAAGGTTTAAATTAAAATTCTTTTATATAAAATAAATCCTCATTTAAAATTAAGAATGTAATTTTTGTTAATCTTTTAATTAAACAAAATTTAATCATATATCTTATTCTGTAATAAATAGGATTTTATATATATGCATATTTCTTCTACTTTTATATCTATATTTTCTGTTATTTCAGGTTCATCGAATAAGTCAGTTAATTAGTGAAAGTCCCGAGCCTAAGAGATCAACTGCACATCACGTCCCGATCTCATGCGAAAGCCCAACGGAAAAGAGGCAGGTGACCGCTTTGCACACTCCAGTACCAGCTCCACCTGCTGATGATATGAAGCCACAGAATATATCTTTCATTGGTAATTAAATTTTACGCATTCACGCACATGTTCGCGCAGAAAGTTCTTTCTTTATCGAGCATTGTCTTATATCTTTTCTTGGATTGATATGAAGGAAAAATGATAAGAAAAATTATATATATATATAAAGAAAGTTCTTTCTTTATCGAGCATTGTCTTATATCTTTTCTTGGATGAATGGAAGGCCTTATATTAATCCAAGAAAAGATATAAGACAGTGCTCGATAAAGAAAGAACTTTCTTTTTAATTCTACCTTTTTCTTGTTTTGAAGGCAACGATGACGATATCGCGCAAGGTATTCGAGGCTTGAACATTACATCGGGTAGTCGTACGTATAGAATACCGTCGCCAACCAGACCCACGATATCGCAGAATTCCTTCCAACCTCATCCCTCATTAAGGGAAACGTCGCGTTCGGCCACTCCGGACGTCACCCCTCTCGATTCCACGGACGTGGGTGAGAAAGGGTTCTACATTTCTTTCGACAATGATGTTCCCAAGAAGCCGAAACCGACTCTCAGGGTGAAAAGAATGTCCCCGAAGAAGGTGAGCACACTTTTGCTTTATTTTTAGTTATTATTCTCTTATTTACCTCTTTTAAGTTATCTCTCTTAGTTACTCTTTTATTACATGATTGTTCATTTGCGATTTATCCTTGAAACGTCGTCAAACTTATTACAGGAAAATGTATTTTAACAAGAAATATAATATCGATTTCATTTTTTCTCCCTAAAGAGATATAATATGTATTTTAGAAATGATAAATTGTAAATATTCTAAAACTAAATTGTCGATATTAGGAGAAAATAATTTAACAGAGACAATGTGAATTATCGCGTTAGGTATGTATATTTAAAAAAAAACAATTGTTAATTTCTTCAGGAACGAAGTGTATCGTCTTACATCGAGCACGAGGACTTCATGCGTTCCGAATCGCCTCTTATCAGCGCAGTTGAAAGGCAGAAGCAAGCGGAAGCTCAGCGAGAATTAGAACGGGAGCGATTGCGACAAGTCGAAGAGAGAGAATATCAAAGGCAAGAAATGAGGGACAGAGAGCTTAAGAGGGAAATAGAAAGAGAACGACAGAGGGAGAAACAACGCGACAGCAGTGCGGAAGGCCGACACGCTTCCGGAGTTGGTCTGGTGATTGGGAATCAACTTACGAATCCCGATCCAGTATGTGAATTACAATGATATTTATTATATTCCAGCAATAGTAATATAAATTCTCTAGTTGCAAATATAGCTTTTGTTTCTCAAATAATTATAAAATTAATTTATAAATTTCATAAATAATAAAACTCGTATATAAAATATCTTAATCGAATCTCTCTACAGAACTCTATGGACGAAATGGAGAAAAAGAAAGAGAAGATAATGCTAATGTCGCTGCAGAGAAGGCAAAGGCAGGAGGAAATGAAGGAAAGAAAAGAAATCGAGTCTCAGGCACGTAGGGAACAAGAGAAAATGAAGCAAGAGGAAAGGGCTCGTAAGAAAGAGGAGGAACGACAAAGACGAGCCGCTATCTTGGAACATCATAAAGTGAAGAAGGCGATAGAAGAAGCGGAGAGAGAAGTAAGTATGCACGATAATTGTATAAACACTTGACAAACATAGAGAGAATTAAACATTGAAAGTTTTTATCGTCATATTTCATCTCTTAACATTATTTATATTACATTAAACCTAATATATTTTAGCAATTATTAACAAATGCTCAAATGTAAAGAAATGTAAAAAAATAATTGTAAAGAAAGGCCTCTAATGAGCAAATTGATTACCTTATGGATTTATTATTAAATTGACGTTATTATTAAATAGATTACAATAAATTTACGCAGAACTAATATATATTGTTTTACAGTTGTAAATTGTTTCTATTTGACTTTTAGGGTAAAGTAATTGATAAGGAGCTCCTCAACGCAATAAATCCAGCAAAATTGCGCAACAAGACTGCAACCGCTCGACCACGGCCCAAAACGATCCACGTAGACGCAGGTACGGGGTTGGACTCCGGGGCCCTTACACCTAGTCGCGGGAAGAAAGGTTCCTCTTCTAACTTGAGTACAGGTGAGATTGCTGTTACCTATCACACTCGCAGAAAATGAAGAATTTGTTGCAACGATCGATGGCTTCTTGGGGATTAGATATGCGAGCAAAAGTAGCAAGAAGTTCAGATTTGTGGTATTAATAGAATTCTATGTAAAAAAAGGAAAGAAATATCTGAATCTCTGAATTAATCGCCAAGAAGACGGATCTCTTTACAAGTGGTTGTGTCACAAACATTGCATTCCCTCGTATAATATTCTAATAGCAACAGTCTCCTCGATGTTGTACCGTAATTTTGCATTTATTCGTTGCATGGCGAAGATTTTTTATCGATCAGAGCCGTTTTCTTCTTCCGTAATCTTTAGCGATGTCACTCTTGCTGTATTAATTGTTTTTTTTCCTGTTGCAATTGGTTTTTTTCTTTTACGAATTTTTGCCACCCAATCACATATTCACGAGCTCCGAATTTTCTCGTCTATTGCTAGCTCAATGAAGAACGAGCGCCGATTGCGCGATCGCGAATTAATAAAAAACACCAGACTAGAATAGTAGACAGAAAATACCGAGCCGATTTTTTGTTTTGCACTAACACACTTACTGTAGCGTCGCTGACCTCCCCAACGATGAGGCGAGACTACTACCGGGGCTCGCAGGATAGTCTCACAGCTGCTCATCTCGATGACCGACGTTGTTCCGGCCCTCTTTATCGGGGCGGCAGTCTCAGGGGTATGCACCACACACACTCTATCTCTCTGTTTCTTTCACCGCATTTATGTCCAATACAGATACACAACTCGCAAATTTTTCTTTCTTTTTTTTTAATTTTAGATGCAAAAAAATTAACTGCTTTATATAATATATAAAATAGATAGAAAAAAGGACAGTATTGCATTTGTGGATTAATATAAATATATTATATATAGAACAAAATATATCGCATTAATTATTTATGTGCAAAAAAAATTGAAAGATATTAATTGAAATTTGACGATGAAAATGACGATATATAATTTTTTTACTGAAGAAAAGTAGTCAATTTTAAGGAATAAAGTTACATAGTTTGCAGTATGTTTTTTTTTATAAGGAACATATTTATTTTACTGCACTTGTTTTTGTTATTTAGCATGCTGTACATCTTGTATTTCGATATCTGTAACTCGATGTATAATGTATTGATAGCGGCTTTATATGAACTGGATATAAATATCTATAGATACCTATATATAAGTAGTATTATAAAAAGCCCCGCAATGAGTTAAAACCAATTGTAATAGAAATACCCCGTTTTTTTAGTATCTTCCGTAGATTCACCCGATGACGGTAGAGGCTCCTCGCCATGTCGCAGCGTGAATCAGCTCGGTCGACGTGGCTCCTACAAGACTTCCAGAGGTGGGTTCGATGTTGCTTACACGAAATTTAACGCGCGGGAATGCCGCAGGCTCTCTCTTTATGTATACGATTGTTCTCGTTTTTGATTCAACGTTGTTTGGCTTGATGAAAGTAGACTCATTACAGGATGTATCACACATACACATTGTGGTATGAGCAGAGCTATCTGATGAGAATCTTACGATGAATGTGTGTTCGAAACAGATTTTGATTAGCGTTTGAATTATAATAATCCTTACGAGCAATCGAATGAGGTCGCGAACACTGCGGGTATGACTGTTTTCTCTTTTCATTTTTTTTCATTATTTTTTAATTTTTTTAATTAAGTAGCGCCTTCAGTAGTGAACATCTCTTTCAGTTGGAACGCAAGCAGTTGTTGTTCTGCACCAAAAACTGCACCGGCCACCTCAGTTCTCTTGATGTACCCCCTCGCAGACATGGCTCGTAGTTAAAACTCGGTTTCCCTCATCTCCCTTTGTTCTCCCTTTTCCAATTAATTTAATCTCTTTCTCTCTAATCGTACATGGCGTTTTGAGTGTAACAAGGCAAACATTGCGTTATTGCAGATGCGCAGGAGTCTCAACAACAGGTTAGAGGCAGGCCTAAATACCAGACTTACCAAAACTTTAAGGGGAGAAAGTCTAATTCCCTGATGAATTTGTGCGGTAAGAAGCACCACAGTGACTTGGAAATACGTTCGATCTCTCCCTTCTATATCGTGCAACAGTCTCTCTCTCAATGTGTTCCCATGTATATATATATTACAATATGTATATGTTATTATCACACCGTCCCTCCGTTTCTCGTAGGCAAAGTAGCACTCACGCGCACTCACACGCACACACGTATACGTAGTGGCATGATGGCGACAGGTTTGGAGTGCACAGGTGACAGTGGTACCTAAAAAAACAACTCATACACGCACGTTGATCGTCATATCGTTACATTTTTTGTCTCTTTTCTTTTCCTTTTTTAGCGCACAAAGTTAACGCAAAGTTCCGCCCACCTGGCTTCATGACGAGAGAGGAATCTTGATTTTCTTCTTTTTTTTTTCGCGAGCGATGTACGACTTGTCATTATTGTTGATTTGCGCAAAACGCTTTTTCCATTCCTTCCTGGCGGCTTCGTCGAGGCGGAACTTTGTTACTTTTCTTAGGAAGACTCATTTTCGCTGATGCTGCCGCTGCTGTTGCTGCTGCTACGTAGAGAAGGTTCGATTGAAGGCTTGTTTTGAGCTTGTTGTACAGCTGGTTGTGGTATATCTTGTCTCGATCTCGGTGTTTCTTTCAGATTTAATCGATGGCTGTGGTATCCGTCTTTATACGATTACCTTTCCAATTCATCATATATATCTAGGTGTCCCTGGTTTATCCCATCACCTCGCCTTGGACAGCTCCACTTTGTATCCCCTCGCTGTTTTTTATTTCCAGGTATCGCGCTGACGAGGTATAGCAAATTCATCGCGGATGTTTGAACTGAGGCTCATCCCATGTCTCTTGTGTTTAGAGAAGTGGATGAATTTGCTATATGTTTATTTATCAAAGTCGATCGAACGTTTTTTCGCATAGCTCACAGATTTATTAAGTTAGAACGAATCATTAGCACTTGACTGATAAATCACAATCATTATTAGAACTGATCGAAAATTTCTCATATAATTTCTCACTAATTTTAAAAAGACTCATTATATACCTTAGAATCATTCTAGTACAGTCAGCAGTTTGATCAGCTGATAGATAATAATGTTTCCAATTCTCTTGTTAAACAGTATATTTAAATGCTCGAAAAAAATATAATTTTAGATGAAACTGCGAAAAATAGACGTTCTTAAGATAAGCGAGGTGCCTCGTAACAAGTGACTAATAGTTCTTTGGGACGCGGTGGCTAACTATATACATATATTATCATTAATGAAGCAAAAGAGCTTTTCTTCTGATTGCTTGTGCGGGTGACCAAAAGGAAAGAGAAATCTCTACACACAATTGCGGACAAAATTGTAAATTAATATCGTCCTTTATTCATCTCTCTCTGTGAAAAGTATTACATGTTTCGCCTCGCCTCGTTGAGACCTCTATCCTTAACAATACGGAGGGTGCGTTCGCAGGTGCGAGTAATGATCAAGATGGTATGATGTGTCGGCATATAGATTCGGACAGCGGCCTGGGTAGATCGACGCCACCGAGACGAGCCGCCAGTCCGGGTATAGGCAGCATGAGGCATCTGACGTCACCCTCGGGCCCCGGCTCGCTGCCACCCGCCCTGATGACCTCGAAGAAAAGGATCTACGACGATGGCAGTAGCGATATCAGTAGCACGCCCAGTTCTATGATGGACTACAATGGTAAATCAATCAGAACATATTAGTTTTTGAAATACCTTCGAGAGAGGAAAGAAGTTGAATCTTGAATTTCAACTAAGGTCATTTAAAGGTCACTATTTTTTTTACATAGAACCACCCTAGTTTTTTTTTATATGACTCATCAATGTTTGATACAAAAAGTTATAAGGGTAGGATGGTATTTACTATATGTGCTAAAAAATAGCTTGAGAGAGCTAAAGAATTATCTAGTGAACGTGTCTGTGTCATTATAGGCCCGAGACTATATAAACTGCCGATAGCCAAGTCAAATCGCAACATAATGCTGAACGCTGTGGAGTACTGCGTCTTCCCCGGTACGGTGAACAGGGAGGCCAAATCAAGGGTACTGGAGGAGATCAGCCGGTCCGAGAGCAAACATTTTCTCATCCTGTTTCGGGACGCCGGCTGCCAATTTCGCGCTCTCTACTCGTACTGTCCCGAACGGGAGGAGGTGGCCAAGCTGTACGGTACTGGGCCCAAACAAGTCATCGATAATATGTTCGACAAGTTTTTCAAGTAAGCTTTTAGCATACAAGGATTTTCATCAATCCTTCGAATCTCTCTATCAGTTTTTTTAATTCCTCTTACTCAGTTATCTCGATGTTAATCCTCGTTGTTCTTTCCTCTTAGATACAATTCCAGCGGAAAATGTTTTTCGCAAGTTCACACGAAGCATCTGACGGTGACCATAGATGCCTTTACGATACACAACAGCCTCTGGCAAGGGAAAAAGGTGAACTTACCGAACAAGAAGGACATACCGCTTGTCATATAGTTTTACGTACACAAGTGGTCAACACTTAACTTAACATTAACGCTACCGTGCCCTCTGTTGTTCATAGTTACTATTTTAATACAGGCCCATATTAAATTAATGCGAATATATTGCGTTTCTTAGTCAATTTTATAAGGACAATTGATCGGTGCTGACCCCTGAATAAAAAAATCACACAATCCGCGGAATCCGCTCATCCCTCGATTGACAATTTGCACGTCGCTTCTTTCAGAAAATAGAAGGAAGGACGAGAGGGAGAGGGAGGAGGGAGCGTTGATCACTAGGAAAATGTTTTGTTTTTTTTTTCTTTCTTGCATTTTTTCTTATTCTTCGTTGAGAGAGCGTCAGCATCAATCACTGTGTCATAAAAAGATTTACCAGTATCTCTACTTACATAAGAATGATTTTTGTGTTGTATTACAATATGCCCCTTTAAATACACCCTTCCTCCGATTTTGCGGACTAACTTCGACATGTATAATCGTCTTGTAATCGTGTAAATCGCCGTGTTGCGACTGCATGGACGTGCGACTGTACTGAATATTTGCGCAAAAAGTTTTTTTTTTTTCTTTTTTAAAGCAATTTTTCCTAAATTTATCGAGTACGAAGCAAAGATGAGAGAAAGATGGCATTTGTTCTTGCGCGAATGTATGTATGTTTGTGTATGTGTGTATGTGCATAATGCGATTCGCGCACAGATTCTTTTTTTTTTTTTTTATTCTAAACTAAGGGGTCTAAATTATTGAACGATTATTCTCTTAGAGTGTTTGAAACTTTTTAAAGTATATAAGGTGAAAAAATGCGAATATGAGGGATCATTAATTTTAGCTGACTTGTGGTTTTTACTTTTTCCTCGCGTCCTCTTTTTCTCCCCATCTTTAATAGCCCGCCGCGATGTATTTCTATAAAAAAACAATTCGTTTCTTTTTTTATATGTATATATATATAGCGTCTTTTTTTTAATCGGAAAAACATTCAATATCTTTTTTTTATACTTGTAATATTTTATTAGTTGAGATATGTGTCTTTCTGGGCAAAAATGCTCTCGAAACGAATGGAAGAGATGAATTAATGATTTCTCATGCTACGTATTTCTATGCGATTTTCTCGCGACTGTTGACGATTGTAAACGCGTAGCGTGATTCTTGCGGTGTCCCTCCATCTTCTTTCCCCCTTTCTTTGCGAGAGAAGAAACTTTTGCGACCGGGAGAAGAAGATGGAACAAACAGATAGCTCACGTTGTAAGTAAATAAGTTTGTTGCTTAATTAGCGGGGAGCAAGATGTAAAAAACCAGCCTTATATCGATCAACGCGAACGTATATTGTATTGTCGCGCGTTTCCTTGTATAAGGATATTACGATACCTTCGCGACATCTCATTATCGTTTCTGCGGGCGACAAAACGTTGTGCAAGGCATATATGTACGTATTTACAGTTTTACGCCAAAGCGAACGATGCGTTTCGTCGGGAGGGGATTAGATAGTTATCATTGTGTACAAAAGATGGATGTTTTTGCATAAGTATATTGTTGCCTCGCGGGGAAGGACTGCTACAGGGGAGAAAGACTTTTTTTTTTTGCTTCCCCCGAGTTTTTGCGCTTGCGATCGTGTTCTTTATCTTTGTAAGAGGAAGGTGGAAGAGAATGGCTCGTATTAAAAAGGACTCCTCATTGAATAGGATTTTGGATTTCAGTAGAAATGGCTGTTTTTTTCATATTTTGTAGAATATATTCTGCTGATCAAAAGATGTAAATAATAGTCTCAAAGCTAAATATTGGATAATTATTGAACTACAATCAGTTCAACAACAGTAACTATTATTACTAGAAATTGAAGCTATTACAGCTTTTATTTAGCAAGTCATATACTACAACATATGGGGGAAAAAGCCAATTTCATCAAAATCTTATCCATTTAGTGAAGGGTCCTTTAGTAATTTTAACGATGGAACTGTACTTTTTTCAAATGGTTACTAACGAAAGTTGATTATATCTCGAGAGTCAGACGTTTCCGCTTTCTTTGGAAATGTAAAAAGAGAAGGAAACACTTTGCGAAGCCTCATGTTATGAAATATTGTAACATTGGATTACAAATGCGTACAGACAGATTTAACGAATTGACAGTCTCAAACTCTATTGAATTTTCTCATGGATAACTCCCCCGCCATCTCTCAGCGAAACTTCAGTCAGCCCGAGCGAACAGATCTGTGTGTATGCGAATGATGATGTTAATTTATCGGAAGAACTATGCTATATATTTATTGTGCCATATAAATTTCGACGTTCGCCTTTCGCGTGGGAATTGGCATCGGCTTCCTATTCTCGTTGAACGGATATCTATATATATATATATATATATATATATATATATATATATCCTTGATCGTGACGTAGAAACATGAGAGAAGGGACTAGAAATAGGTAGACTTAAAGTAGACATTTTATACGACAATATCGGGGGTCTATCTCGTTTTTTCGTACAATTAATTTCTCCCGGATCTTTCCGTCCATCACGGACGGGGTCTGATGATCCAAAAATATCGTTCTTCTCTCTGATTATTTTGTACGATGAGTCTTCAAACTCGGCCGAGATGTAACATGTCCGAGTACAGATAGACCCTCCATATTCCGCGACGGCGTAACACAAAAAAAAACGTAACACGCAGGATTTATTAAGAATACACACAAATACGCGAATCACATATCGAATTCCGAATGTTTTCCGGCAACCGCGGAAGAGTATGTATTTTCAATTCGTATATATGGGATGCCCGATCAATTTCTGGCTTTACTACTCGTCGTCCCGCCTTTTAACCACGTGTAACGAGAGGGACTTGTGAGATTAAACTCCGTCGAGATTATATACAGTAACAGAGAGAGAAGTTCACTTGCTCTTATATATATTCCTGTCTATTGTAAATCTACCTGAATATTATGAAGCGAGAGAGAAAGAGAGTTATCAGAGAATCTTGTATTAGATTCAGAAACAGTCCGACCTGACAATATCGAATGTGAGGTACGCGCCATAAAGGAAGATAAAAAGGAATGATATCTTTTTGAGATGAAGTGTAAATTGTGTGGTAGATCTATGATGATGATGATGAGGAGGAGGAGTGAGTGAAAATAGTCGGAGAAAGGGATAGATACGATTGCCGATAAATATATATATAAAAAATATATATATAGTCACTAATATTTAAGAGCCAACGAGAATTAATGGCTTACAGAGATGGGATTGATTACAAAGTTACGATGTTACGAGAGATTTCTCGATGATGATCACTTATGCTTGATATTTATATTTTTCGAAAAATAGATATTATTAAAAAGGAGTGAGTTGATGGGAAAAACAAAAATGTGGCGCTACAGACAGATGTGATAATTGAACAAAGACGAAAAAAATAAAGGGATGACAGGACATGTGGAAGACATGAAGAGAAGAAGGCAAAGGACACAATTGCGAAAATTGCGGCATGACGGAAATTTATACGCCGCAGTTCAATCGCGCTTACTAATAATAATAAACAATTATCATTACGTAATATATATCTATACATATATATATAAAATATAAAAAATTTATTATATGTATGTATAGATATATATTTATATAATTGCCGATTTTTATTGTCGCAAAAATTTCAACACGTCAAGGCGAATCAGTTCTCTATATCCGCGCTTTGCGCGTGTGTCTGTAAATATATTATGTTTTTATATACATATAAAAAAACGAAACGTATACCTACCTACTCGACGATATGTATATTTATTCAGTACATCATGTAAGATTTTTGGGTAATAATTTACTGTTAGCATCTCTTCGCAGCGAATGTCATCAATAAAATTTAATAACCCATTCGTGTGTATGTATGTGTGTGTATGTGTAAGAGACTTTACTCTTCCGTGAAGAAGAGCAAAGGTGTTCTTTGATCATTAATTTAAACTTAAATTACATATTTTGAGAAATTTCGATTTTTTTTATTCGGACGAAAACTTGTCAAATTTTAATATATATAAAATATCTGAAAATTACTCATAAAAACGACTATTAACATAAACCATTAGGTTTTTATCGTCTTTCTCTCTCTTGGAAGCTTTTTGATTCTTCGATTCTTTTGACGTTTTAATTTATAATCTTTGGTTTTTGAAAAAAGAAGATGAAATTAAATTCCAAAGTTTTCTGTAGAACTCTGCGTCTGCAGCTTCTGAAAAATCTAAGAGATTTTAGAACACAATTAAGTGTAAAGGGGGTAACTCAAAAATGACACGGTCGATTCTCTTGTTGTGTGTATATATATATATATATATATTTTATACATAACAGCGGATGTGCGCCATTTGTTAATTTCAATTTTGCGTATGTATAATATATTACAGTTCAATAAGAGAATGTGTGAATGTGTATATCGAGAGAGAAAATTATTAAATATTAAAAATATTCTTCGAAGATTAACTTCCCCTCTGTGTGCGTGATTAAAGGACACTTTTATTTTTTACAGGGCACTTGTGCTTTACTCTCTTTTTTCTTTTTCTTCGAAATCTCTTTCAAGCAAGATCAATCTCCTACAATGTACATATAGAGTCTTACTATATATTCGCTATATATTCGCTATAAAAGTACAAAATCGTATAATTCGCGTATTAATTCGCTCTATCGTCGACGCGACGATCACGAGATCACGTTTAGATTGGATCTACGTTAACAATAATAAATAATGGCTTTTAAATACTGATGTACACAGATATTGTTCGCGGCGAAAGTAATTAAACTATATATATTATACATATATACCTATATATATCTATATATATGGCAGTGGCATATTTACTCGCTATCTGCGCGAAAATGTCTTCCGCTCGACGAAATTGTTCGTTCGTGCCATCATTTACATCATCTTGTCGCGAAAACCGACGCGTCCTTTTCTCTTTTTTTTCTATCCTTTAAGTTATGATCTTTAGCCTAAGAAAAACGATTTAGCATCTTTTGGCTTTGTTAGTCTTACGTCTTAAAAAATCGTCGTCTGCGAATATATGGCACTTTAGACCCGGTGTGTTCGCGAACTTCTCGAGCAGTCTTTGGAACTATTTATTATTAAAAAAAATGCTGATCATCGAGGCGATAATTGTGTCTCTCTTGGCGTTCCGCTATCATTGAACCGGGCAGGAGCTCAGATGAATGTTGTGCAGCTCGGCCATGTCCGTCCAGTCTCGTCTCTCCCCTCCTATCATCACATTCCTGATGCACCCGTTGAAATGGTCCCTCGTTATCAACGAGCCTTTCTGAGCGGATGCTGGAAACAACGAATTCATGTTAGTTTATCACCATACATACCAGGATAGGTACATATTAAATGTGTGTTTAAACATTACACAGAAGTAATATTTATTTACCTGGTATACCACCTATATACAACGGGCCGGAGGCGGTGGAGCTCATGAAATGATAATTGACGTTCGCAGGCAGACCGTATTTCTGATCCAACTCGTCGACCTTGAGCGCCAACTCCTCGTCATTGTACACGGCCTGGATTCGGTGCCATCGATTGTCGCAGATCGCGTACGGGCTGGCGAATCCTTGCTCCACGTACAAAGGATTATGATCACCTAGATCACCTGACATGATTACTCGGCCGTTATTGAGTTCCAGCGATAGAGAGGGTGAACCGCCGGGCGCGCTGATCGACAACAACACCCCGGACAATTCCGATGTTCTAAACTCCAGCTGGAGTTCGAGCACGGCACCCAGCTCGAAGTTGTTCTCTGAAAAAAAATGTGCAGTTAGCGTGCATCCAAAAGAGTTATATTTATTTGTTTAATAATTTTCAACTTTGTTATAGCTTGCTATATTTATTTATCAATAATTTCACAACTCACGATAAACGGCGTAAGCCTCATCCTGAAAGTATGCCCCGCTTTCGACGCTCGGGAAGCACTGGCCGACATTAAAAGCTCTGCTATTGGAGCCTACCATGTCGTATACGTTTCCATTGACTTTCAGACCTCTGATACAACCCTTCAGAGTCTCCAGTTTGACGACTACTTGCTCTGGGATCGGTGTCCCACTTTCCGGAAGGCCACCGATATACATCATGTATGCTAGATTGATCCTCCTCGGTATTTTGAGGACTCGCGGTGTCTGGGTGTCCACTAATAGAGTCAGCTTTCTCTCCTCATGACTGAGGACGACGTGATGCCAATTGCCATCGTTGAATGGCGTTTTGAGCAGCATCTCTTTTCTCTGCTTATTCTTCATCAAGAGAAGAAGCTGTCCGTCTCGGATGACCATCATCAGATAGTGTTTCAACCTCATACCCTGTAAGATATATATTAATAGTAATTGACGGCTACAAATTATTTAATTTAAGATCAGAGATTAATTTTACATAAAATGATTAATAAATGATGCTCCAATTTGCTTACCGGAGTGATGAAGAGCAGCCCGTTGGGATAGTACGTCCTGAAGTCGAATTCAATCGTGTACGTCTTCTCCCAAAATTTCTTGAAGTTGAGGTAGAGCTGCGTGTGACTGTTCGGCTTGTCGCCAAATTTCAGAGCACCCGGTTCCAGCGAGTAATAAGGCACCTTCTGACATCCTTCCGGTTGCGTGGACATTCCTCGAGATAACGAGGCCGAGGGTGCGTAACTCGGCATATCTTTTCCCATGCTCGGTCCAGGACGACCGATTAAAGCGTGATCAAAATTAACGGCATCGTCGAATCGAAGAATTCTAAAACAATTAAATCGGTCACATATATAATTTATAATAATTACATATAATAATATAATTATATAAAATTAAAATTTATTGATAAATATATGTAAATATTCACGTCGTTTTTAATTTAAGATTATACATGTTTTTATTTAAAAGTATTATTTAACTGTATAATTTGATTTTTCGAGTATTAAAAGATCTATATGAGAAATATAATCTGTTTTAGATTAAATAATGTTAAATAATTTTTATAATTTAAATAGTACTTTTAAATGAAAAATTTACATTCTTAAATTAAAAATTATGTGAATAATATTTATATTTATCAATAAATTTAAATTTTATATAATTATATAATATATAATTTATATAATTTATATTTTTAAAATGCTGCAATAAAGTAAAATGATAGTTTCATAACGATGCAATAAAGTAGAATGATAGTTTCATAAGTATGATTGATAACTATTTTAAACAACTACAGACGCGAAGTTCAACTGGCTTTCTAACTTACTCGTCGTTGAAAATCACATCCCTGATAGCACCATATAGCGGTGTATTCGTGGCGACCATCTTGGTGTTATTGATGAGAGCAGGTAGCCCACCAAAGAAGAGTCCTCCGTCCGCATCGGGAGCTATGATCGCGATGCTGGAAGGTAATCTTCCTGTGGTCTGATACGCGTCATCGATCCTCAATTCCACCTCTTTCCTCTTCTTGATGATGGTGACCGAATGATACTTTCCGTCGTTGAAAGTATTGTTGGATTGGAGAACCAGCTCGCCTTTGCCGGCGTTCAAACGAACTTGCACTTGTCCATTAAGTATGCAAACGGAGTAATAGCTTTCTCTCTGGAAAAAAAATCAGAAACATAATGTGATAGAACTTTATTCTTTAACTTTCTTTCCTGACAAGAAAAATCAAATAGTATCAACACGATGGGGTCTTACTTGTGCTTCTTTTCTCGTGCTATCGTTCAATCTATCTTCGCGACCTTCGAACGTGGAAAGAAGCAGCATAGCAGCCTCTTGCATGGTCCTGAAGGAGAAACTCAGAACAGAGTGGATCTTTCGTAAAGTGAATGCGGGATGCTCGAGGTATCCATCTCCGTAAAATCCGACGATCTTCAACGGCTGTGTACATAAAAGTTTGAAGTATGAGAAATAAATTTATTTTACGTATCACAAATGTGCACAATTTATTGCTTTCTTTTGTCTTTTTGTAGAACAAGAAGACAAGGTTCACCTTGTTGCTACAACTGGGTTCCACCCCGTAATATTGTTCGGCCATTGGATTGTAACCCTCTTGCACTTCGATATTCGCCATGCAACCGAGGAAGGACACCTGCGAGGGCAGCATCAGTTTCTCGGCGCGGAAACTGGGTGGTAACCCACCGATGTAATATTTGGCTTGTTTCAAATCCGGGATGTCTTCCTTCTTGGGTTGCGGCGTGGGTGCACCGATTCGCTTGTCGTTATCGCCGCCGATGCTCAGACTGCACTTCTCGATGTTCTTGCGAACCTGATACTGTCTGAAAGCGTCCACCTTCGTCCAATTGCCGGTGTTGTATTTGTGCGTCGAGGACATTTCCATACTGACGTTTCCGCCGTAGCCGACGTGGAGTATCACCCTGCCTTCTCGCAGGAAGATCATGATGTGATGATTCTGCTTGTAAAACAAATATAAAATTAAGACAACGGATTTATATATTACGCCATATGTACAAATTGATGATTACAATTGAAATATATTCGTACATTATCTTTGTTGATGGCCAGAAATAATAATGCATTCTCATCATATGTCCGAAAATTGATAGAGACCCCAAACATATATTTGTTGTAGGGAGTACCAGACGAGACTCTGTTTCTCACGGCGTATCCCTCGCCATTGAAACTATAAGATATATCATCTCTGGTGTCCTCCACTCTAAAAGAAACGGACGATATATGATTAAATTAACGAAAATAATTAATTTTTGCGTGAAAATGTTGATAGTGTAAAATTATCAAGTCAGAGATAGATGTAACATCAAAGAGAAATTGAATTAATAGCTTTCAGCGAATTACCCTTCCACGCAAGCTTTACAAGCCCAGTCTGGCGCGGTCGTAATGAAATTCCAGAGACCGATGTGTCTTCCATCAAGGATCACCTGATGAATACAAGCCGGAAGTCCGTTGGTAGCCATCAGTTCCGTTGGCCTTCTCTGTGACTTAGGAATACCTCCTATCCATACTCGATCCGTAGGTAGAACGTCGAAACGGCCGTATTCGGAATTGGTCGAATTAATGACGGGGAGATACTTTCCGGACGTCGACGTCTGCCTCAGCACGCTCAATTTACCCGTGTGTCGAGTTCTGAGGTTGTCGAGAAACATTTGATTATTGCAAATTAATGTTTAAAGATATATGTATCATTCGATGATCCGCACCTTTCGGCCTCGATTCTGTACCAAGATCTGTCATTCTGCAAATCACCGCTTTCAAGAATCTCAGGATGCGTCAGGACACCTGTACCGCCGCCGACATTCCACAAAAATCGCACTCTTCTGTCCACTATCTCCAGAGCAACGAAATCGTCCTGCGAGAAATTAAAAAAAATCTTGAAATTTTTATTTGTATTTCTTACTATTTGATGCATTAATTTTTGTGTTATTAAAAGGACGTACATTAATTCCGCTGGGCAAGTAAAACAGTGAACCTTCCTTGCGGGCGGTCGGAAGCGCGAAAGTCATCACGATCGAAGTCGTTGCTGAAGATTGCAACATCGTTGGTCTATACGAACGGATACATTCTTTACCCTCTACGGATCTCAGAGACACGCGAATCTGAAAGCGACACCTCATTTTAATACCTTATAATTAAATTAATTAAAAAGTTAAAATCCAAAACCTGCGTGTAGCGCAAGTACAGCATTCAGCAAATCAATATGATGTTAATTTACATAAAGTATCTTAATTTCGATTTTAATTTAATTTGTATCAAGATATTCAATATTCATTAAGTGAAATAATGATTTTTATGAATTATACCCCATCGGCGGTGTTTCGGGCCTCTGCGATTTTATCTTTGAGATTCTGCAGTTTCGTAGCCAAGGTATCGTTCCACTTGTCGAAGACGGCTTTTTGCTTCATCGCGGTGTTGGACAAGCTTGTCAACTTCACATCGGCTATCTTAATATTGCTCAGCGCTTCTGACACTAAAATAAATATATTTCCATGACATTATCTTCATAAAAACTTTACGTAGATACCTAGAATTATTTAATTAGCCAAGTCTGAATTAAAACGACCAAGGAAGAATTACGTTTTTCGCTAGCCAGGCCGATTTTCGTATCGCCTTCGCGTTTTAAATCCTGCAACTTCGGCTTCAGTCTGTCAGCAATGCCTTGTTTGTAATCGTCAATCAGTCGTTGCGTATCGCTAACAGATTCCGTTACTTCATTATTCTCCTCCAAGATATTTAATAGATCCTCATGCACTGAAAATAGTATTTATAAATACAACAATGTTATCTAAAATATTTTCTAGAAGTTTTTAACATTATTCAGATTGTAATATACACTTACATTTCTTGCTATTGCTATGCAGCTCTCGCAATTTCACATTTATCTCATTGTCCTTTATGCCAGTGTTGTTCAATGTATTCTTCAGCACGAGCACAGCTTGCTTCTGAGCTTCCAACTCGGCGTTCGCGTCCTTAATGAGTTTACCGTGCTCCTTCGCTAATTTCCATTGCTGCGAAGATTTGGCTAATACATCCTTGGCATCGTTCAGCAGCGATTTCTGTCCCGAAGGGGGGAAAGCCTTGAGAAAGCATCTACATTACATTTATAGCCAACTTTCGAAATGCCATTGTAATATGATTAGAAACAAAATTTGTGCGAAGAAGAAAAATAGAAAATTAATAACTATTTTATTCTCTAAACATAATTTAAACAGTTTAAATTTCTTTAAAATATCTTATCTGTAATTTAATTTAGTTTATTATCTTTTATCAAAATGTATGCTCTTCTAACTCTACTGCAACTCTAGAAAATGTTTTCTCGAACTTTATTTCGTACGATAATAAATGGATAATTAATTAATAAAGTGCTATATAAACGTCATTCTCAAATTATGAAAATACAACAAATTTTATTTTATTAAAAAACACAAATTCTGTACAAAATAAAAAACGAGAAAAAAATGAAATACCTGATAAAATTCTAGATAAAAAAAATTACATTCATTAAAAAGTTACTCTATCGTTTCTTACCTTTTCACGTACTTCTTCGATGATTTCCTTGGCTGCCATCGCGGTGACTTTCGCTGCTTGCAGATCATCGACGATGTTCTTGTAGGCCTGGCTGGCTTTTAGAGGACTCGCCGCGATGTCTCGCGTCTCGGCGAAGAGACTGCTCGACAGAGAGTTAGACTTTATCGAATCGTCGATGCAACAACGATATTGAACATTGTAAACTCAATGCAATTACTGATCAAATTAATTATACTATGGAATCGTATTTAATCTCACCTGACATACTGGTCGACGTAACTGGATAGATTCTTCGCGTGCTTCATCGCTGGGGTTACAAATTTCTTGGAGTACTCGTAATTCAGTTGGTATTGGTGTTCCTCCTTCCTAGTGAGTTCCTCTGTTGAGTTCGCCAATTTATCTCGCCAGTCCGACTGGTCCTAGAAATCGCAAAACATACCGATGGATTAAAAAATGTATTGCTAATTATATTGAAGATCTTCCTTTGCATCAGTAAATTGATTTTCCTTTCATAATTATATCATTGATGCTTGTTACGAATTATTTTTCTAAGAAATAAAAATATTTGCGTACTTGAATGTTGTTGCCCGCGTCGACGAGCAAACCTAGAGCCTCGTCGATGAGTTTCTTTCCGTCAGATATTAATTCGTTCGTTCCCTCATGCAACGTCTCGATGCGAGCGTACTGATTCCTAGTTTCGACATGTGTCTTGTTGATACGGTTGTACAAACCGTCGTAGTTGAACAACGTTTCCATGGTCCTTTCTATGATTGTTCTCATGTCGTTTAACTTTCTCTCGTAATCTTTAACATCATCCTGAGCGGCTGATAAAGGCTCGGTAGTGTCGTAAAGAGAGTTCAACCATGCCACGTACTTGGTGAAGTCGCTAATTAATACAGAAGGGACATTGCTTATCAATTTATGAAAAAAATAATTTTTTTCTTTCTATCAGCATAAAATTTCCCTGCTCAATATTTGTTAAAATTTTCTATTTAAACGAAATAATACACTCACTCGAGGAAAGCTTCTACTTCCATAGTTCTCTGGTCTATATTAACAGATTTTAGATGATTCAAGATTATCTTCCCCGTTTTCAAAGCCTTCTTGATTTCTATTCTCCTATTGTCGTTGCTGTATTGATTGAGTTCCGAAGTCGTATCTGGAAAAATTGGAAGAAATTATGTTAAACGAATGATTTATATTGTAACGCGATTTTTCAATGGTAATTGAAGCGAATTGTTAATACCTTTTATATCTTTTTTTATATTATTAAGCATGATTTTTCCGGTGAAAATATTATTTTTTAAATCGCCACTTTTGAGCTTCAAGGTATCGGCATATTTCGCACACTTGGTCATCTGCAAATTAAAATGCAAAAAGATGTATAAATCGTATAACTCGTTTTTCTTGAATCATATCAATTACAATACTATATCTAGCACATAACATACGTTTCTTAACATAATTTCAACATCTTCTGCAAGTTTCTTGTATTCGTGCCAAGGTACAGTCTTCATTCTTTCCTGTAGACGAGTCCGTAATTCCAGTTCTTTGAGATGCTCGCTGACGACGGAATCGACAGAAGTCAATGCCTCCCACGGGGGTGGAATATATCCGTCTGCTATGTGACTCGTTCCCGCTGCCAACTCGTCGGATAAGGCTACGACGGTGTTCAACAAAATTCCCGTGCAATTGTCATCGCACGCTAAACAAAAAATGTAATAAAACTCAATAAGCGTATATTTTCCAGATTTATGAAGATTAATGCATTTAAGATGAAGTATTTCTATGTATCAGCGAATAAACTTACAGGTGCAAACGTCATTTATGTAAACGTGACGATACGCCGTGCACTGAGAGCAATCCCTGCCCGTAGACCCAGGTCTGCATTTACACTGTCCCGTCTTGTTGTCGCAAGCGTCGCTCAAACTTCCTGCCAAGTGACAATTGCACGGAACACACTTGCCGTCCGGAAGACTAGGAGAACCATAGTAACCATACGCACAGCGTTCGCATTTTCTACCGATGTATCCTGAAACGACGAACAACGTATGAAGAAAGTAGAAAAATCTACTTATAAAAAATTAACATACCTAGAATCATAAAAGTATCCATTAAACATTTTAGACAGATTCATGCTTTTGAGATTTAAGATAATATTCAGATAAATTAAGTTTTTAATTTAATTCTAAATCAATAATTTGAAATACATTGAGATAAAATGATTTTAAAGCTTTCTTTAATTATTTTAAATGTTTCAGCTTTTTAAAATTATTTTTTATTTTTTCATTGTTCACGTACCTGGCTTGCAATGACAAATGGGTTCATTATTCGCACGAATGATGCAAGTACTCGAGAATCTTTTGTCGACTTGTGGACACGGACATGGTTTGCAGCCTCCGAATTCTGGATGACCGTAGAAACTGTCAGCACAAACATTGCAATATGCGCCAACCGTGTTTTCTTGACAGTTCTGCAACGCAAAGTTCTCAATATTATATGAAAAAATTACTCAAAACTTATCTCTATATAGAAAATATCTATAATATTTATATAGATTTCGAAAAAGTACATTTATAGCACTTAAATAATATCAATTTCTTTAAAACCTTATTATAAGAGCATCAGGAAATATTTATCATTATAAAAAAGTAATGTGAGAGCTTAAAAAAATATTATGTATAATTATAATTTAATTATATAGTAATTATATAATTATATAAATAATAATGCATAATGCATTTTTATAATACAATTTAATTATATCAATTATGTAAATTATATCATGTACGTAACATTTAAAAGAATATAAGTCTGCAAACGATGCAGACCCAAAGTAAGAAATTTATCTTGTACTCCGGCTCATCTTCTTGTATGTACACTTGTCTCTTGGCGCACTTCCTGTGTCGCGCTATCATCTCCATGAATAGCGTACACTTACAGGAAAATGTTAACGTAATGCTTACCAAGCAATATCCCGTCTCCCTGTCGCACACATCGGATCTCCCGTTGCACTGGCAGCGCCTAGCTTGTCCGACAAGATCAATCACGATGGTGGATGTGGCGGTGGTGTTCTTGTACCATCTGTAGAAGCCGATGCTGGGATCCTGGCAGGACGTGCCGTTGTATTCCGACGGGCACTCGCAGATCTCGATTCCGATCGCCAACGGTGGCGAGTGCGTGGGCGTCAAGACGGCGGCGTCGAGAGATGCCTCCAGGAGTCTGAAGGACACCCGAGTAAAGTAAGTGAAACGTTGTCATAAAAATCTTTATCTTCTCTGATTGTATATGCGTACTAGGATTTTTATTTCCAAAAGTATTAAACTATTAAATGTCAAAAATTATATATCACGAAATAAACATATTGCAATTATTTATTTTATTCTCTATGATGTATTTATTTCTGTATCTAATTATACGTACGTGGTCTTTGTAAATTCGGCGCTATCCGAAGCTTTTACAAGGATATACTGAAGATTTTGTAACGCAACCATTAGCACCTCCCTGGAGACTTTGTAATCCGGCCTATTTTGTAACTGCCATAACGACTCATGGAATCTGAAATAATATTAAATATAAATATATATGTAATATACTCATTTCTTGAACGTTTTGCAATGATCCCTAGAATCTTACAGAAGTCAGAAATAAGTTCGGAATTTTCCAATATAATAATATGTGACATATTCGTCTAATTAAATTAATTTTGGACAGTGTTTTTCCTTTCTCTTCAAAATTAATTGTACTATATATTATTCCAAAACTGTTAAATATACCTGACTTCATAATGATTATTGTTCGCTGGTAGATGTAAATAATATTCTAGGACAATCTTGTTATTGCCTTGCAACTGCACAATAGGATATCTAAAATTCGATCTTAAAGGTATTCCACCTTCCGTTAAAGTTTTAAAACGCAGGAATCCTCCGTAAGAGACGACCTTAAAAAGAACGTGATAAAAAATTAATATACATATAAAATTTGATTTTAAATCAGTGAATTAATATAAAGTACATTTCGCGAATTGCTTTTACAAAGACACATTGTTTAGAAATGAAAAAAATACCTTATCGCCTAGGAAGGAATCCGGCAATCTCCAATATAGAGGATAATTGTAGTAAAGATTAGGAGGCAACGTGACGTCACCATCAGATCCGGGGATTACGGAGAGGCCGTTCGTCACGTTTAAGCCACCGTTCACCGTTGGCAGTACGATTGTGGTGCCAAAACTCATTATCTATTTGATCACAGATAATCAAATGAATGTTTATATACTGAATTTATCAAAAATATTTATCAATTTTTATAATGAGAATTTATAACGATTAAATTAAATCCTACTGTTACGTCGCTGATCGTCTCGTTGAAGTGAAGAACACGAGGTCGTGTCAATCTTCGTTGACCCCAACTGAGTCCAGCCTGTTGACACAGTGTGCTCCTTCCGAAGCAGAAGCACTCAGTGCATCCTCTGACGTTATCCACCGCGAGACCAAATGTGCCTTCTTTGCATTGATTGCACTGTCGTCCAATGACCAGTTCCTTCAGAATTATATCTCGATTAATGTTTTTAATCGCTTAAATTAATTTTCCTATTATGTCGCTCTTATTTTATTTACTGACCTAATAATGTCACATGAGTCTTTTTTATAATCTACATCTTTTTATATATTCTTTTTTATATTCTTTTTTATATACTGATAAATTCACACTTTTAAACTCACTTTGCAGGGACACTGTCCTTTGTCATCGCATTCGCAGACACCGTCCCGGCACTGAGTCGTGCCGGCGACGTTACATCCGCAAGGACGACACCTTGGGTAACCGTAGTATCCTCTGGCGCATCTCTCGCACCTGAGTCCGTCGTAGCCAATCCTGCAGGGGCACTGACCCTGGTGATCGCACTGGGGTCGCGTAGCACCTAATGTGCACGCGCAGGGTCTGCAGCCAACTTGCGGTACTAGATCCCAAGCACCAGGTCTGCATCGGTCGCAGTGCTCGCCATAGGTCAACCGGGGACATACGCAACGACCGGTGTCAGGGTCGCACACGTGACCGGGTCGCACGCAGGAGTCGCATACTGTAAAAAAGTTCGTTCTTTTCATTGAGCTTTTCTAGGAGATGAGATGTAATAGAGATGTGTGAAATTGGTGTCCCATTTTGTGAAAACATAAATAATTAAGAGTACAAACATAAATAATTAAGAGCTGACTAAATTGACAATAGTTGTAAAGTTTTAATGGTTTAAATAAATAGTTTAAGCCATTAAAGCAACGAAAAAATGCCTAGTTTGTTCTAAAATCCTAAGTCTTCAGGCATTTTTGTGGCATTAATGGTCAGAACTATGTTTTTAAACTATCAGGAGATCTAGAATTATTGTAAATAAACTCACAACTCTTAATTATTTATAAATTTCCACAAAATGAGATGTCAACTTCACGCATGTAAATTTATTTATCTTTTTATTAATTTTTTTATATTTAATTTTGTTAAATATAAAATATATAAGATTTTCCCTGCGAATGATAGCTCAAAAATGCATGAAAATAAGTCAAATTATTCATCGCCTAATTCAAGGAAAAAATTCGTCAAATTTCAATTAAAACAAATATTATAATTTATTTTAAAAATATAAAATATCCTTAAAATTATTATTAAATTAGAATAAAAAAAATTTTAATTTTATTTGAAAAAATATTTTCCATGTAAAATTTTGTTTATAATTTATAGATAAAAATTGAAGAAAAATATATAAATAAAATATTTTGAATAAAGAAACACCACGTTAATTAAACTACTAGTATATTACTATGAAGAAATAATTTGACGATGAGACTTACATTGACAACCATTGGATGAAAATCCATAATACCCAGAGAGACAACTATCACATCGCAAGCCAGTTACACCCGGCTTACAATAGCATTGTCCTGTGTCCCTGTGACAGGAAGCGTTGTAGGAGCCCATGGAATCGCAGTCACAAGCTGTGCAACCTGCCCCTGTTGTCAGCCCCCAATAACCAACCTAAATGAATTTTATAATTTGACAATTAAAAAAATACCTTCTCGGAGTTGTAAGGATTACACGATAGTCAATTTATTATTTATTATTATTTTAAAAACTGCATTTTTTATAAAGTGTTAAAACACAGAATTTTCTCTTAGAATTTACGCTGAAAATCATGGTAATCGTAGGACAATATGGTATTGGAAGAATTTGATAAAAGCTTTTCTGATTAATATGTACCACAATAAAAAATATTAATATCTACCACAATAAGATATAAAATATATTTGATTTATTTTACTACATACATATTAATAATACTCTCCGAGAAAATTCTCTTCGTGAAATAAATTTAAATAAGAGAATTATTTTTTGTTAGAATTATATAAATTCAAATTTATTGTTAATGTTATTGTATATATTACCATATAATTGAAGAATCTATCTATCGCGCAATTTGACCCGTTCATCGATTCCGATAAAGGACAATGCAATCTATATATTATGTCCAATTAATATCTGGCAATACTACATTGCAGATCAAATGAATTTTTCTCCGATACTCGATACAGCTGCATTAGGAAAGCAATGCATTTATTTTCTCGCTACTAGATGCCTACCTAGATAGTAGAATTACGTTACAGACCATCAAGTTTACTTTAATCAACGTTTGATATTGTATCACCAACTTGATTCTCTCTTTCTTTAACCTGAATCTTATAATATCACAATCGTATACACTCACAGTTTATTTATAAACATGCAATGTGATTCGCAAGTTGAAAATTACCTTGCATTCGTCGCACTGCCTGCCGATAACTTGCGGTTTGCACTGACATTGCCCGGTCACGATGTCACAAGCTGAACTCGTAGAGCCCAAGTTACTGCAGCCACATCCTGCAATCATACGAAAAAAATATTGCCTGTTAAAAATAATAATCGATCCTCTGTCTTTCGTTTTTTTAGAGTAATCCATTCATTTTATAAAAATACACAATTACATATTATTAATTAATAAAAATATATTATATTATTTTTTATTAATTAATTTTTTACTATTATATATTATTAATTAATTAAAAAATCTGATATCAAAGCATCACAATTTTTTCATCCATGAAAAATTATTCCTCCGGGAATTGATATATCTCATCTTCGAAATATTGTTTTCATTCAACTTTTCGAATATTAATAATTTGTGTATAATTTATTGCAATATTTTACGTTGCAGCCACATCCTGCAAGCGTATTAAAAAAATAATAATAAAATATAAAATCGATCTTCTGTTTTTTCTTTTTTAGAATATAATCTGTTCATTTTATAAATACGACTATATTATTAAACTTTTACAAAAAAAATCTGACCATAAATCAAAGCATCACAAGCTGCTTTCATCCAGAAACTGATTAATATCTACGAAATATTATTTCCATTCAATTGTCCCAATGCTAATAATTTCTGCGTAACAACAATTAGCATTGTTCCATTCTAACGAAATTTTTTCAAATTTTTCAACGTTCAACAAATGAAAAGGAAGATGCTGCAGAAGATGCAATATCTGAAGCGACAAGAACCGTAATTAAACGATCATCGGAACAGCGAACGACGTCGACAAGTGCCGTCGACACAGCGCACTTCATTAATAATTCATATACGGGCACAATTCTCATCCTCACGCTAATTACACATCACTAACAAACGTTTCTAATCGATTTTGCGCGGCGCGAAATTCTTCCTTGCACGATAAATGTTTTCGCGGCCGCGCGCACGTGCGCGCGTTTTGACGTTTGACGTTTCGCCCGCGCGTTTGACGTTTCGCCCGCGCGTTGACGTTTGACGTTTCGTCTCCGTCACGTGCGAGCGGCCACGACATTTATGCGGCATCGAGCACCGGGATTTCGTAATTAGCGATGCTGTCGAGCGCCGGGACATTGTATTCAAATGCCGCAGACGACGACGACGACGACGACGACGTCGGCTGTCGTTCGATCCTGCGGAAATTATAAATTATGCATGATCGCGCATCGAGAGAGAGAAAGAGAGTATCACGGTCGTCGTCGCGTCATTTGACTTCGCAATTCACCGATTAACGACGGTCCTTACAAAAGGGATTATGCGCGAGAATTGATTCGGTGACGCAATCGCGTGTTTACACGCCGCTGCGATTTGATTGAATGATAACTCGGAGACATTCATGCGTGAAGAATATAAAATCAAAGATAATCAATCGAACGTGTCTCATTCATGTGTACGTGAAGTATAGAAATTATTGAAATTATTTATGTATTTTTTTAACATTTCTCTTCTCGAGAGTACATGCTTGCCTTTCTTGAAAATAAAAACTGCATTTAAAAATTAGAAACGACACTATTAATCTTCATACGTTTGATTGATGATTATGTCAATTTTATGTTGTGTAAGCCAATTGCACAATGTCTGATATAAACATCCGAGACAAATGAATAATTTTATCTCACACGGTGTTTCTTTGTCAATTCCATGGCACGTGGCACGCCGTTTTATTTTTTAATAACATATAAAAAGTATTCCATTTAATATAAAAGTTTGAATTATCAATGAAATAAATTTATGTTTATACATAACAATAATTCCATGAATTAAAATTATATCGCGACATAATAATAATTCTGAAGTTTTTTATGTCTCGACATAATTTTAATTCACCGAATTAAAATGCGTTCCGCATCTTCTTCGCCTCAGGCGAATTTCCGCGACGCAGCGTGCTCAACCACCTGTCCACCCTATATTCCAATGTTATTATATTCACCTAAATATTTCAATAATTAAAATAATTAGATTCAAAATACACACAGAGAGATGAATATTGCTCATTCTTTCTATTAATTACTTTGCATTTTTTTTTACAATTTGAAAATTTTAAGTAAATTTTGCTTTAAAACAAGATATAATATTTAATTTAAGTAGCAATTTGAATTGACAAGATTTTTATTTTATTTATGCAATTTGTTCTATTTTATCATTTTATTTTATCGTGTTAAAACTTTTATTTTATTATTTTAACATTAAATATTAAATAAAAGAAAAATTTTTCACTTGAAACAAAATTTCACACAAATTCTCATATTCTTATAGTCCTTTACGCGCAGTTTATAATTTATTTTTCATTTGACAAATGTAAAATTGTATAATGATAGAAATGCAAACTCTTCGAGAAAATTCATCAATCAAGATATAATGCACGTATTGTAGCAATATTAATAATGTATGATACTTCACTGACTCGCATTTCCTCGTGAGTTGAATAAATAATTAGCCGAGCATTTCAATAATTCTAAGAATCAATTAAATTAACGATCGAAGAAATGATATAATCAGAAAATATTTGCGGCGATTCTTTCGCAGCACACTATGTTATGATCATAAATTATGAATTACAACTATTTTATAAATTAATTTTTGTGACAAAAGAGACACAAGGACTCCGTTGACGATATCTAGAATACATTTCGAAATACAAACAGGAATATTCATAACACGATAATATTGTATCGATGTTATCGATAAAAAATAAAAAAAAATCGAGTGATATATTATATTCGATTAAAATTTCAGATAACTCTGTTAATCTTTCTATAATTATTATCATGTAAAACAGACACACGACGAAAGAGTCGAAGCATTCCATATATTTCTTCGCGTAAGTAGATGTAATATAATGTACGATATAACAAATTAAATTCGCTACAAATACATACAGGGTGTCCCAGACTTATCGGACCACATGTTAATGACAGATTCTTGGGATTAGTTGGAAATAATTTTTTCTCAATGAAAATGTCGAGGCATCAATAATTTTTAAATTTTAAGTCAATGATTAAAGATAATTTTTTTCTCTACACTAAGCCTGGTGAAAATAAAATATTAACAAAAGTACAGTTCATTTTAGATCTAATTTAAATTATAAAATTTTAATTTAAAGCTTAATTGCAAAGATATATGATGGCAAAAATTGGGAGCTTGCAAAAAAATGATGACATTTTCCCTCGATATTTTCGTCGAGGAAAAATCGTCTCGAAATAATCTTAGAAATCTCTCGTTAACGGATGATTCGGTAAATCTGGGGTCACCCTGTATACATATATGATATTGGTTATCCGATATGCACCTCGATTATCTGATATAAAAATTTCAGCATTCCTGGATGCAAAAATGTGGCGGGACTAATGTGCCGTCTAATTATAATGCATCTCAGTCGCATCTCTCGCTTTTAACGTGTTAGTTTAACGAGTAGCGACGTTATTATATTCACCGCAAAATTATCTCTGCCGACGTATACCGCGATTCTCATTTCGAGAATGGCATTCGCGGGACGCGGAATTTGAATTTAATTATCGTGCGGCGCAGATTTATGTCATCTAATAATGTGTTAAGTGTTTTCCGCAAAACGTGCAATCGGGAGCTGTCGCATATACGTTGGCACGTATTAATTTCCGTGCAGAATTATTATTATTATATACGCGCGCACGCGTCATCGCGGAAACTTTCATAAGACGAGTTTAGCAAAAATATTGATATAATATATGGCACTTTAATCAAACGCGATCGCGCATTTCGCTGCAAGTCATTCTATCCTATTTTTGAATTAAATTAAAAATTTTGTGCGCTTTCTTATGTAGGGAAAAAGGGGTCGAAATAATTTTACATAAGATTTTTGAAAATGTTCTCTTCTGATAAGATAATATTTAAAAATTTTTTCGCCAAAAATCATCAAAATAATTTTTATTTTCATTTATTAATTAATTGTCTTCGTCAATTGATTCAAACTATTTTATAAAAATAAAAATGTAACTTGATATTTTTGAAAAAAATAAACTTAAATAAGTATATTCAAAATTTGCTTATTTATCTCTCTAAAACAGGATTAAACTATTAAAAAAACCTTATTAATCCAATTGTAAAATATTACGTTAGCTGCAAGGGAGAGAGATCACAAAAAATCTTACGATCATTTTAAGAGAAAGAGGGAGGTAAAAAATTATAAAAAAATCTTACGTAATTTAAGGATAGCTTCTAAATTAAGCCAACATCATACTTATTAATTTAATATCCAATAAATAATAATGAAATTACCGTCAACCCAAGTCTAGTATCCCCTTATAAGGGAGCATCTCTTCCATTAAAGTCGAAGATGCGATCTCCGGAAGTGAGGTTTCCGCTTATAATGAAAACAGATTCGCGCTGGCGAGAAGAGAGGGCGAAAAGAGAGAAAGAAGGGAGGATTAAAGGCTCGTTAGGGCAAATATAGTGGCGGCGCGACGTATGATTAATTCAGGCAGCGCGAGGCGGCGGCTATCGCGCGCATAAATAATGATCCCGTGTCTCTAATCCCGCGAGGCATTCAGAGAACCGCGTATTCGCGAGTGAATAAGTGTCCGCGTGCCGCTCGCACAAAAGCGGCGGGCGATCGCTAATCGTGACAAATACGCGTCGTTCTTTAAATGCCGGCCGTGTCGAGTCGCACACGCGGCGCGAGCTTTTATTAATTGTAACGAGCCGACTCGAGTCTTAATGTCGGCTCGATATCCCGCGATTTATCCGATTATTAAGGTACACGTCCACACAATTACAAAATTATATATAGTACACGCGCCCGCCTTGCGATATATAACGTTGTTAATTAAACGTATTAACGGTGTGACATCGGTAATCAAACTTGATGTAGATTTATGATTCGTTATCAATGTAACGAGAGAATCATTTTTTTTTCTTTATTGAAGGGTCACCCCTACATTACGTAAGGCTTTTTTTATGGGATTTTGATACTTTCTCTTCTCTCTGTATTCTACTTAAAATTTTACAATTTTAGTAATAAGGGGTTTTTGTTAATAATTTAAAACCCCTTTTTTTAGAAATA